GCGCACATCTACACAGGAACAATAAGTAAATAAATAAATGTGTTTTAGAAACTCGGCACTCATCTAGAACTTTTCTTTCCTGTCCTCCTGTCCCTGGATCTTCTGACCTAAAGAGCTCTCCTACCTTAGGTCAAGTCCCTCCCAGCTCCTGTGAGGGCACCATGTCAGCCTCTCCCAGGCTGTGTAGAGCTGATCTCTCCCACTCCCTAGCCTGCTCTCTATACCTCAGCCAAAGGTCCCTCTGGGAAATGTCAGTCTGGCCAGGTCCTTCCCTGGCACAGAGCCCTTTGAAGCAGAGTTATAACCTGGTCTGTGGCTGTCAGTCAAGACTTGAGCAGGGAAAACCCCAACATCTTCAATCTGCTAACTTCAAATGGGAATTGTTTCCTTCAGTGAGAAACAAACCATGAACTTCAGTACTGTCTATAAGCAAGGCCTGGGACCAAGGCACCCCTAAAAATCGTGAGCATTTTCCTATTATACTGTAAGAGCTGCAGAACCTTGGGGGTGTCTGGGACAGTCAAACCTGCTGCCAAATGATGGCTGGCATCAGGTTTCTGCAGGCACTTGCCACGTGCTGTCACGAATGGAGGGTGTGAGCCACTCTGGCTCATATGCATATGTTACAGGAATTGTTTGGATAACTTGTTTTGGTGTCACCGGGGTTATTTATTTTATATCTTATCACATTTATTTACTTATTTATTTTCTGTATGTGTGTGCGAGCTTGTGACATGACACGGTGCAAGTGTGGAGGTCAGAGAACAATTTGTGGGAGTCAGTTCTACCATTGGGACCTGGGGCTCAAACTCAGGTCACCAGGCTTGGTAGTAAGGTGCATTAAACAACTGAGCCATCTTGAAGGCTCCCATTTTTATTTTAGATTCTTCAAATTGTGTTTTATGCAATTAAGAACTTTCTGGGAAGATTGGTGGTGGTCGCCAGACTGCCACAGGGGTTAACAGGAAGACAATGAGAGTATGCCCGCACACACGCACTTGCGCACACACACACAAACATACACACACCTCACACCTCTACATATATAAAAATGAGGCTATCAATCCTCTGAGAATGAGAGACCAAATCCTCCCAGAGGACCTGAGACCCTGCAGAATTGGAGCCTGCCTCCCCCTCTTTCCAAGTCCATCTCAATCCCAACCCTACTGTGTCCCACAGGTTTCCCAACCCTTCACCCTCCATATCTGGCAGGTAGACAGCCAGCAAGAATGACAGCCAGCAGTGAACCTCACCACTCATGTCTGAGTGCTCTGCCCACACTCTCTTACTTCATCCCACAAGAACTCTATGAAGCAGATGCTGACACCTGGATGCTCTGAGGGTAGAGAGAGATGTTGTCATTTCCTGGAGAAGGAGACCCTAGCCTCAGCCTGAGGAACCTGGTCACACTATTCTAACACTATCACACTGTGCACAGGGCCCCATGGGCAGTAGTCCCACTTAATCCCCATGATGCTTAGGCACCCAGAGGAAAGCTGTGCACCAACCCAATGCTGTGCCGAACACACAAGGTGCTCACCAAATAGTCAAGGAAGAGCTAGTCAGGGGATTGTGGGAAATTAGTTTCTTAGCCTAATGGCCAAACAGGAAGAACGAGTTTGGACTCCTCTGTCCCCCACCCACCCAAGGTTACCCTGTGGTCCTGCCTTACCTGGTGGGCTGGACCCCCACCAGCATGAGGACCTTGAGGGCAATCCTCCGGTGAAGATTCCACTCCTCGATGGCACTGGCCATGATCAGTCCGCTGAGGAAGAGGAAGTTGGTGTCGAGAAAATATTGGGGGCACACCTTGCTGGAGGGCAGGATTCCCATGAAGGGGAAGAGGATGATGGGCAGTAGAGCCGTCACAGACAGGGGCAGAGCCTCCGTGCACCAATACATGGCCATGAGCAGGATGACGTACAGGCATCGGCCTTCCTGCAGGGGAGACACAAGGAGATCAGCAGCTTGGTGCAAAGGGGCCAGAGGCTGAGGCAGGCCCGCCAAGGTTCATTCCCAGGGAAGCAGTGGACATGGGCGTGCCCAGGGCTTTGACCTTGAACTGGCGACGTTACCTTGCTTGTGTTGCTCAACTGTAAAATGAGGAAGCTCTCTGTCCACTTCACACATTGTTGGAGAAGGAGATGAAAACCCCCCCCATTGTCACGGAAGGAAACCCTCAAGGATGAAAACGAAAGCAATTCTAGGGGATTCCAGAAAGTTCTGGAAGGGCAGTGGGGAACTGAGACAGAAGGAAGACAATATAGTGGGACCTTAGTGGAACCCTGGAAACCCTGGTGGTGTGACACGTGTGTCCAACCTTTTGACATGGTGAAAAGATGTTGACATCTACTAGGTTCACATTTGAAAGTTGTACTACCAACTTTCAGAATAAAGCAGAAAACATCTCTTTTAAAAACCATTTTATGTATATGAGTGTTTGGTCAAAGTGTACCACTTGCATGTAATACCTGTAGAGGCCGGAAAAGGCCATCAGATCCCCTGGAACTGGAGTTATAGATGGTTGTTAACCACTATGTGGGTGCTGGAAACTGAACCCTGGTCCTCTGAGAAAGCAGCCAGTGCTCTCAACTGCTGAGCCACCTCTCCATCCCCAGAAAACATTTCTTAATGTTTTAAGTAATTTTGGGATTTTGCTATCCTCCACCACAGGTGGATCTACATTGTAAAATGTGTCTCAAGCTGTTCTCTGGGAGGCAGGGCAGCTGGGAAACTTCCCCACCACGTGTTCACCATCCCTGATTGAGGACTGATCTGGGAGCCTCAACTCCCCATGCTCCCACTTCCCTGTGGGTAGACTGAGCATGCTCCTTCAGCCAGAAAAGCTCCCCAGGGAGGCAGCTAGAAGCCACTGGCATGAATGGGATTGGCAAGTGCTGGTGGCAACACCGTCCCCCTCTGACACTGAGCAGTGTCCCACAAAGCATGCACTGTCTATCTGAAATGGAAGAACTAGGACTACTGAACTTGACATGCCATGTTTATCCTGCTCTGTGCCCTACCTGAAACATGTCCCGATTTGGAAAAGAGGAGCCCTGAATACTTGGATGTACTATCAGCCGCTCTTGGACCTCCTTGAATCATCTTGCATCTTTGCACTTGGAAAAAAGCCCAAGTAAAAGTATTTCACTTTTAAAAACATTTTAATTCATTTTTCAAAAAACGTTTTATGTGTATGAGTGTATTGCCTGGATGTATGTAAATGCATCTGTGTCATGCAATGCCCGTGGAGGTCAGAAGAGGGTGTCAGATCCCTTGATCTATAGATGGTTGTTGGCAGCCATGTGGGTGCTGGGATTTGAACCCAGGTCTTTACAAGAGCAGTCAGTGCTCTTAACCACTGAGCCATCTCTCCAGTCCCAGATATTTCACTTTTATCCTAGGTCTGTCACTGGATACCTAGAGTGCTAGACAGTGGCAGACCCTCTTACTTAGAATTTGGGGTTGGTGCCTGGTGACCCCCAGCTCATCAGATTCCACTGATCTAAGAGACAGCATAGCAAAGTGATCACCTCCAGAGAAACAAGGTCTAAAACAGAGTTTGTTCTGTTGAGCCATGGGAGAAGAGGGTGATGGAGAAGGGCAGATACCAAAACATCTGAAAATTTGTGTCTCTCTCCTCTGTGTGTTGACACCAAGTCTCCACCGTGGTGATCATATGAGGTGGTGTTTTCACAATGGGATCAATATCCTTGTAAAAGGCTTCAGGGTCTTCCCTCTGTTCTGTGAGGACATGGAGGTTGGGTGCCATCTTTGAGGCCGAGAACAACTCTCACTAGGCACCAAATCATCCTGCATCTCCATCTTGGATATTTTTGTTGGGCTACTAACTAGAGTTATATAGGTTCCAACCTTCAAGACTGTGAGCAATGAACCTGCATTTTTTTTTATAAATTACTCAGGCTAAGGTATTTTGTTACAGCACTTCAGAAGGACTGGGACATTCCTCCTGCCCCCTTTGGCCCTCATCACGCTTGTTCACAGGAGACACTTTCAGCTTTCTCTGGCTGCAGACTCATGCTTGGCCGACACTTCAGGGAAATGACACTTCCTGTAATAGCTCCCAATGGGAAGTCTGGTGGCCTTTCAAGCAAGACGCCTGAGGCATGTTGATGACTTCTCCTGAGGTTCCCAGTGAGAGTCCGTCATCCATACAGTAACGGATTTACGTGGGTTACTGTCAGACGCCTCCTTCTTTCAAGTCCTGTCGCTGGGTCCTCTAGAAACCCATTCAAAAATGAAGCCTTCCTGGAGACAGGGACAGCTTTCTGAACTGGGGTTCAAGAGGTGTTTGGCACGAGGAAGGAGCCGGGATGCCTTGTGCCTATGCTGGAAGCTTCTTTTGTGTGTGAGTCAAAAAGAAGAGGCATAGCCTTCAGCTGGACCAGGAGCCATCTGAGCCAGAGCCAGAGCCTGCCACACTAATGGCTGGCTTTGTTTACCCAGCATCCATCTGTAATATTCTGAGTCAGGCAGATGGAAACACTGGTCATTCTGTTTTGTTTTTTTTCTGGGGTTTTTTGTTTGTTTGTTTGTTTGTTTGTTTGTTTTTAAGTACAGGGGATTGAACTTGGGGCCTTGTGCTCCACTGCTGAGACCTAGCTCCAGCCTCTTCTTACTTTTGTAAATTTTGGGATAGGATTTCACTGTTGCCCAAATTGGACTTGAACTTAGTCTGTAGCTCAGGCTGGCCTTGAAATTATGATCCTTCTGTCTCAGCCTCCCAAGTAGTTGGGATTATAGGCCTGGATCTCCATAGCTGATGGGAATGTTTCTTTTTTTTTTTAATGTATGTATTTGTATGTCCATTTGTGTGTGTGTGTGTGTGTGTGTGTGTGCACATGTGGAGTCCAGAGGACACTCTCAGGTGTCATCCATAGGAACACTATCCACCCCCTTTGAGACAGGGCTTCATGGACCTGGAGTTCATCCATTGGGCTGGGCTGGCTGGCCAGTGAGCCCCAGGAATCTTCCAGCCTTCCCTCCCCCAGCTGGGATTACTAGCACAGTCCTCCATGCCCAGCTTCCTATGTGGGCTCTGGATTGAACTCAGATCCTCATGCTTGTGAGGAAAGCATTTCACTGAATGAGCTGTCTTCCCAGCCCTGAGTAGACATACTGTGGTTCAGTGTGAAAGGAGCCGTCACTTCATACCCAGAAAGCACATGGTGTGTTCTATCTGGGTAGAACCACCACAAGTAAGGATTTTCTGGGGGCTGAGCTCCAGTCTTACCAGAAGCCCAGGCATGTACCTTCGGCCATGGAAGATGCTCCTAAAGAAAGCTTCTAAGGCCAGAAAACTTTCCAGCAATGGCTTCCCCTGCCATTCCCTAAACTCCATGATGGATGCCTTATAGGCTCTGACAAATCAAAGAAACACATTTACCTTTGGTACACCTGGTTTCCAAAGTACACTTGTCTGTATATTGAAATACTCCTTAGATCTTCACAACTTGTGTTCCTTGAAAACTGGTTAGAAATTTGGCCCGACTGTGACCTGTGATGATTCTAGCATTCAACACGAGCTGCTTATTCTCTGTCTCCCCAGTTAAGATCAAATTTCCATGAGAAGAGGGTCCCTATTCATTCTGTATCATTTTCTTCAATGTCTCAGAACCTAGCATAGTCCCCAACATACTTGATCTTGGTGTCTGCAGTAGAGAACAGATGAATAGATATATGAATGAAATGATGGATGGAGGATGGATAGATAGATGAATAGATAAATGGGTAGATGAATGGATGGATAGATGGAGAGATGGATGTATGGGTGAACAGATGAATGGATGGATGAATGGGTGAATAGATAGATGGATGGGTAAGTTGGTGCATGGATGGTTAAACAAGTAGATGAATGGATGGTGGATGGATGGATGGATGGATAGGTGGATGTTCAGGTGGGTGGGTAGGTGGATGGATGAGTAGATAGATGGATGGGCAGAGGGATGGATGGGTAGATGGGTGGCTGTGTGGATGGATACTCTTGACTGGGCCCCAGGCTAGCACTTCAGGATACAGAGAAGAGAAAAATGAAAATATGCCCTCAGTATCTGCCGGGCAGGTGGCTGCAGACTTACCTGCTCTACAAAGCAGCCTACTTACTGGCAGATGTGGCCCTAGGTCCCTTAGGGGACACTGGGGGGGATAATTAGCTTAGAAGCCAAAGGGGTACAGCAAGGAAGACCACTCAGAAAGAGCAACTCCAGCTCCATCTTAAAGAACACACAGGTCTGCAGAGTGCGAAGTTCAGGCTGCACTGGCCTGTGGGCTTTGGGCTTTGGGATATTTATTTCTTATGGTACCTTGGATACCAGAGCTGATGTGTGAAGTAGCAGCTGGATCTTGTATATCTGATCCTCTGACTCTTCAGAAGTTGGGGGGGCAGCAGGAGAGGGAGAGAGAGAGGAGAGAGAGAGAGAGAGCCAATAAACAACACCCAATCTAACACTTTCAGGCAACAACATGGGTTCCTGGCTAGTAACCTTCTCTGGTGGGAACTCATCAGGCAAGAACAAAGACAAGACATGACACGGGTGGAAACCAAACAGCTTCATGCAGACAACGACAAGGGAAACAAACAACTTGAAACTGTGACTCACTCAACTCTTAGAAAGAGACCTAGAAAAGTTGAGTATTTCAACATCTTCTGTGTAAGATACGAAAGCAATCATTAAAAACATTCTTCTTCACCCCCCTCAATCTGCACCTGGTTCTACTGGCTTTGGCAGTTACAACCAATCAGGGAAAGAATCAGTAGGATTTATTTTGTCTTGTTCACATTGAGAGTAGACAGAGAACTTTTTCTGTTTCATTCTAAAGGTTCAGTATAAGCCCAGGCTGCCCTGATAAGAAGAGCTGAGAGCCAGAGCATGCAAAGTAACCTGGGAAATTTCAGTCTGAGATGCTCCCCGTGGTGC